CCAGTATCATGCCTCTGAATTGATCCGCCGATTAAGGGATGAGCCCAAAGAAGGAAAAGAAGAATTATCCTGTGTACGGGCTAATGTTGTTGTACAACAATCCTATGAATCGGCGGAGGTACATAAGGGAACCCTGGCCATAATTCCTGAACAAGGAAAAGCCGAGACTATCCTATCTCGAGCTGAGATGGTTGAAGGGGAGACCGAGGGCAAGACTTCTCGAATAGCAGAAGATATCTTGAGGTACGAGCTCGTGGTAATCGACATTAGCGGATCCCCTCAGATTTAGGATGCTATGATCCGTGAGGCCAACATGTTGGAAGGTCGATCTTACGAGGGTATTCAGGAGTCGACTAATATCCACGGCTTTTTGGATGGGCTCGAGTCAGCTGCCTCGGAGGAGATTATCGGGTTCGGTGGATTACTGGTGCCGAAGAAAGCATCATGGTCGGGCTCTACCGAGTCTTCATCGGTTCCAAAACTGGTGGACCAATTCCCGTCCCCGAGTGTTAATCCCGATCGTAAATGGAAGATAGTTTTCTCCGTCCTGAAGGATGTCTAAATTTTCTCTTCCTCTGTGGGGATTGCTAGTTACCTTCGGTCCTTGGTGATCGAAGAGGATCAAACCGTGATGAATGCGGTAGGACCCGCTTGCCTTTTCAACGAGGCTCAACATTCTCTAAATCGGGTAACTTCGATGGTATCTCTGCTGTTTCTTTTACACTTAGAGTTGTAGATAATTCTAACATCTTTTTCCATGTTTGTAGGCTTCGGTGTTGCATCACAAAGCTCTCCTCCGAATCCGGAAGGAGCATGAGGCCGAAGTTCGGAACCTCACTGAGAAGAGTGACTCCTACAAACTTCTTAGTGAGAAACTTCGGGCAGATTTGGAAAAGGCTCAAGATGAGCACAAGGAAATGGCTGAGCATGTATTCTGAATTCTTCACGATAGTGAAGATGAATTGGAGATAACCCTTAACGATCCGATTCTGCAGGTTCGGTAGAGGCTCGAACAGGTAGATGAGCTACTGGCCGAGGCAGAAAAAATCAAAGAGAATATGGACGTCCTTGCCTCGAAAAAGGAGGTTGTCCAAGCGCAATCGGAGTTGGTTGAGACCCAGCTTCAGGCTGAAGAAGAAAATGCCTTGGTGCAGATCGAGAAGATTAAGGAGCTTCAACATCGATTGGATTTGGCCACTTCTGATAAGGCAGGCTTGGCCGATGAACTCGAAATGGCGAGATCCGAGGTGGCCGTAGCCAGATATGAAGTGGTCGTAGCCAGATCCGAGGTGGCCGAGCCTAATAAAAGATTTGATTCTAAAGTGGCCCAGTTTAGGATCGATGTTGAGGTCAACCAGGCCAAGGCCAAGAGCATAGTTGAACAAGCTAAATGGAAGGGTCGAAGGTAAGCTCACGAGGAGGTCAGTGCTCAGGGCTTCGATGTTGCGGCCGAAATTGAAAATGCCAAGGCGGAGGAAACCAGAGCCCGAAGGCTAGCCTTCCCTGAGGAAGACTCCAAGAACTCGACCGAATATGAGGACGGAGAAAATCCCGAGGATGCAGCCTCCTTTGAAGACCACGCCACTTAGGATATTAGGTTTCTTGTTTTTCTTTTGTATCTTTTCTAGGGTCGATTCGGCCTTTTGTAAAAAACTTTTGAATATATATATAAGGCTTTTCTTGCTCTTTCGAAAATGCCTAAGAATAAAATTGTGTCTGAGGTTTAGACAATTTGATTGGAACCGAACTAGTATAGCCCTTAGGTTTTTCGATCGAGTGAGTGCTTGCTCGAACTTGAAGTAATGTAGCCCTTAGGCTTTTGTAAGAAAGGTTGTTTATGGCTTTCTCCCCTTTTCGGCTAGAAAATGTTTTTTGTCATTTGTATTTGCAAAAAACTCGTAAAGACTTAACTCAAAATGAGGAATCATTCAAGAGTTCGAACAATTTTGTACTCATTAGAGTTTTCGAGGCTTGACCGGTTTATGAAAGAATTCGAAGGCCTGTTTTGTTGCGGGATTTGGACATTTCCGACTCATGTTATTTCGGTCGTAGCCTCTTTAGTTCGGGATTTTTCCCTTGGGCTTATTTTCCCGTTTTACTTCAAGCTTGCCTGAAGTGTCAGTCCCTGAGTGGGTTGGTCGTGTCCTATAAAAATCGAGGGTTTCCTAAAAGGTCTTATGATATCGAAATTTTAATAATTTGATCTCATTTATTTTTCAAACGGCAGTCCCCGAGCGTGGGGGTAATTGTTCGAATTCTGGTTATGGTCGGCTCTTAAGCCGGCTTACATAATAGTTCGAGAGTACAAAATTGTAAAGTAGAAAAAATTTCTAAGGCATGAGATATCGGTAAAGAAAAATACTTCTCTTTATAAATGATTATACATGCGTACATGTTCTGTGCCATGGCTCGAGGAAACTACGCGGGCACGGTTCGTTTGACTATTTGGCCTTTATAAGTTTTTCCTATCGAGACATTGCTGCCATGAAGTAACTTCCGCGCATCAAAGTTGACATTCGAGGGAAATGCCCTCCCAGTGTTCGAAGTTGATTGTAAAGAAACCTCGGATACTGTCGAATTGTTCTAAGTTAGCACGATCGATGGTTGCCTTATTAAAAACCTCACCGAAAAACCCATTTGGGACAAAATCGGTCTAAGAAAAAAAGAGTGCAACGCATGCTTTCAGACCTAAAGGCTTCGTGTCGAAGAATCCATCATTATTTCTGGTCGAACACCTGCAAGGGTTAGTTTAAAATATAAATAAAAATGGAAGGGGCCGTACCTTAGCAGTAGTATCGTTTTAGGTGCGATACGTTCCAATTGCTCGGCAGTTATTCGCCATTCATCGTGCCGAGCTTGTAGGATCCTTTTCCGATGATTTTGAGTACCTGGTACGGTCCTTCCCAGTTCGGACCCAGTTTTCCTTCATTCGAATTTTGGGTGTTGAGGGTGACTTTTCTTAACACCAAGTCCCCGATGTTAAAATGTCGAAAATTGGCTCTTCGATTGTAGTACCTTTCGGTCCGCTATTTTTAGGTGGCCAATCGGACGAGAGAGGCTTCGCGTCTTTCGTCCAACAATTCCAGGCTCATATTCATGGTCTCGTTATTCGACTCCTCTGTTGCATATTGAAACTTGATTCTAGGTTCTCCGACCTCGACCGGGATCAGAGCTTCAGCGCCATAAACTAACGGGAACAGTGTTGCTCCGCTACTGCATTTCGATGTTGTGCGGTATGCTCATAGAACCTCGGGTAATATTTCTCTCCATTTTCCTTTGGCGTCGGTCAATCTCTTCTTAAGATTTTGGATGATGGTTTTATTGGTTGATTCGGCTTGTCCGTTCCCGCTGGGAAGATAAGGTGTTGATAGGATCCTTTTGATCTTGTGATCCTCGAGAAATTTAGTTACTTTGCTTCCGATAAATTGTTTTCCATCATCACATACAATCTCGGAGGGCATCCCGAATCGACATATGATGTGGTCCCAAATGAAGTCTATGACTTCCTTTTCGCTGACTTTCTCGAAAGCCTGTGCTTCAACCCATTTAGAGAAATAATCAGTCATAAAAAAATAAACTAATCTTTACCTGGGGCCGATGGGAGAGGGCCAACGATGTCCATTCCCCATTTCATGAAAGGCCATGGGGACAGACCGAGTGGAGTAGTTCTCCGGGTTGATGAATCATGGGCGCATGCCTTTGGCATTTGTCACATTTTTGAACGAACACCCTTGAGGTCAACTGGAAGCACTTCGTTTCCTGGGGCGGCTACGTTGTCGGTTTCGCCATGAAAACTAAGGTCGTTGTCGATGTGTGTGGATACTGCTTGAGAGTTTGACATGCTGATCCTGGAATCAAAAACGCATACAAGAACAAGTGTAAAGCTGTGTGTGTTATGAAATTAGCACCAGGCAATCACTATTATCCTTAGCCCCACGGTGGGCACCAAACTGTTTACCCTAAAAACGGATAACATTTGAATTTATATGTGGTTTTAAGGACACGTGATTTTACTTGGCACAAACTGAGAAAATATGCAAATTGATATTGAAATTGAATGTAAAAAAAAATAAAAGCAAACCAAATGAGATGTGCAGCTTTGGCCCTCGAGCTAAGTTACCCTCGAACCAAATGAAATAGCAAATGAGGTATGAGCAGAGTAACAGAGTATTGAGAACCTAAAGAAAAGAATATTATATTGCTTTGTATTGCGTCAATATCCTCCTTTACAAATTATTAGACTCCCTTTATATAGTAGGGGAGTCCTACTTATGGTACAATTCTAAATACAATAAGAAATCTCATGATTGGCTAATTAATCTCTCCTTGATTTGTGCCGTAATTTTCGCCGAGATTCTCCCCCTAATTGCGGCTATAACGGCTTTTTTGTTTCTTGGCTCGATCTTGATCCTGGCCAATCTCGATCTTGATCGGTCTCTGGGTCTTCGAGCTCGATCTTGGCCGACCTCGATCTTGATCAGTCTCTGGGTTTCGAGCTCGACAACATATACTTCACACCATGGCTCGATATTATAATGATGAACCTCGGAACATCATGTTCCAATCTCGATTAATTATACGAAAGACAAAACTCGGTTTTGACCGTATACACACCTATTGATCGTACACCTTCTAACACTTTGAGTTTAGAATTCTTCTCAACTTTTTTTATTATGATTTTCTCCTCGAGAACAGTTGCCTCGTCGATTCATCTCCTCGTTCATTTTTTCTCTGGGACTCTTATTTTATAGCTTATGGAATCATTGGCTCTTCTGGTTTTCATCAGTGGACTCATCCATATTGTTGATGATCTAAAAGTCTTAATCGAAAGACAACTAGACAACTAAGCACATAATTAATGTATGTATTATTTGAAGTAACACACAAAGTTTTCCATTTTTCCTATTCGGTTTGAACTCAAAGAAATGGAGGTCTCTAATTAGAATCTATTTAATCAACATAAAGAGATATTAGTAACGGTTATTGATCAAACAAATTTGTATAGAATGGAAAAACGATGGAGTATTTGAATATGAAGGTGTGCTAGTGAACAAGGTGAAAATACAACGTTACCAATTTCATCAAATGATATTCAAGAGTAAAAATGAAATAAATCATGCTCATGACAACTTGTTCAAGATAATATCAGTACTCATGACTTGTGAATTTTAATCGTTCCGCATTTTAGTTCACTTATCCCACCAAAACTTGCCTTTCTTTGTAGCTGGTTTCTCTTGTGTTTTTTTGATCTCCACAGAAGAAGCTTCAGGTTTTGGATCCTCCGGAGTTAATTTCTCTTCAATTTTCTTCTCTTCAGTGGCTGTTTTTTCATCTGCAGGAGTAGTCTCTGTTTCTGGTTTTACTTCCTCTACTGTTGTCTCTGCAGGAGCTTCTTCTGCGGCTGCTACTTTCTCTTCATCTGCTTTATTCTCTACAGGAGATGGAATGCCCTCCAATGATGGTTTTACTACTTCCTCCACATTCTGCTCGACCGGAGTTTCTGATTTTACTTCCTCTATTTTCTTCTCATCAACACAAGTAGCATCAGCTGTCGCAGCATCATCGACAACCTTCTCAACTAATTCTAATTCTTTCTTGGCCTCCGATGGTACTGATGTATCCTCTTTCTCTTCTGCCGACCCCTTCCCCTCTTCATTCTGGACCATTAATACGGTTAGACGTATCACAAATTGTATTACATCCATTCTATTTTATGTCACTCTTTTTACTTCTTAAGGGTTACATCTTATCATGTTTTAAAACCTTTTCATGTTATACATTTATCATATATCTTTAATGATATGATCTTATAATTATAGAAACAGTCTTATCATATTTACGACCAGAAGGTCGAAAAATACTTTAGGTATGTTTAAAAGCACTATTTCATTTTTTTTTAATGTAACTTCATTCAGGCCATTACTAACAAGAACTAACAGAGCCTTTCTTCTCAAGGATTATCGCAAGGCCAAAATAAGGTGGTATATGGTCAATGCACAAAAATCACCTCTATCATGATCAAATCTCTTTATATTTAGATCAAACAAAAGTAGTCTTGGGCATGAAAGTTTCACGTCTTCCATGTGGCATAAAGGAACTCCACAACCAAAATTTTATAAACCAAACCCGTTAGAAATTATTGAAAAAAAGACCCAATAGAAAGTCTTTATATAACTTTTTCAACATTTCATATAAGATCATATTTGTATTCTATAAGAATATTGAAGTTATGTTCAAATGATGTTTTTTGTCTACTTATAATTTTACGTTTCAAATGATGTTTTGTTTAACAGAAATTAAGTAATATTCCGAAGTATTAAATAAATAAAAAATTATTCAATTCATATAAACTTCCCTTACTAAATATGTGAAAGGTCAATGATCATCAATAATCACGGTGATATGAATTGCACCGCAGGATATAAGTCAATTAACAAAATATTAGACGTCGAAAATATGAATTAAAAAAGGGAGATAGAAACTTATCACTCATACTTTTTATTTATATCAGAATCTTTCCGTTTTATTTTGTTAAAAAAAATGATTATATTTTTGTATTTAAAAACTCTAGTACTTTAAATTTCTTATCTATTATAACATATCATATTTAAAACCACATTCTAATTGTTTGTTGTATATGTATATATTCTCAAACACCTCTATATAAATGAAATAGAGAGAGTATACATTTCTGGTATTATACAACAGAAACGAAGAGAAATAAAGAGAAGCATAAATAGATTGGGCATTGAAATATGAATACTTACTTTGAGCAAGTTACTTAGAGATGGAATTTTGTTGGCATCATCATCTGCAATGACACCCTCTTCCTTCTTCACCTCTTCTTCAGCCGCAACCGTAACATCCTTGGCAGAGACATTTTCTGGTGCGACTTCTGGGGCTTCACCATTCAACACATTAGGCTTGCTAGCACAGGCGCCCATTCTTTCCCTCTCTAAAGATGTTTTCTTTTTTCTTTGCTCTGAGAGAAAACTGAACCCCGAGAAGAGAGAGAAAGAGGAGAGAGGAGAGGATGGTCAGATAGGGAGAGATCAGAGACTGAGAGAGAAGGTGGGAACGAAAAGTTTAGGAATACAGAGGTTTTATAGGGTGGGAAGCCAATGCATGCATTCATTGTCCCATTTCGCACTTCTACGGTGCAGAGGAAATTTCTCTCCACCTAGATTTTTCTTTTCCTGAGCTTGTTTCTAGTTTTAAATTATTTTATATCCCTATTCTATATTAAAAAGTCACCTAATAATGTCATAAATGGGAATTATGTATTAGTGAAAAACAAACTCACCACGTAAATTTATATCATGACGACAGATGTCATTGGAGTTATTACGACAAAGAAGAATGACGCATTCAGAAGATGTAAACAACATTCTCGGGTTTGTTCGTGTGTCTATTAGCTTCGGGGTTAAACATAAGAGAATAGCCACGAGACTGATGATCAGTGGCAGATCCAGGATTTTAAACTCATGGGTGCTCGTCAATTAAAATTTCAAAAGAAGAGGAAAAAATAGTTAAGTTATGGGTGCTCACTCAATATTTATCTAAATATTTTTATAATTGCCTATGCAAATTTACTAAATATGGTCAAAGGTAATGGGTGCTTAACACCCACAAGTTCCTATGTAGATCCGCCACTGCTGATGATTAAAGTCATTAATAGCTATGAATATGAAAAAAATAAGTCAATCCCGGATTACACACAATTTGCTATTATTATCTCAATTGTTACAAATCAATCACGTACGTACAATTACTGGAATAAATGATTGTGACAGGAACGAGTTAAACATGGCAAATGGTTACAAATAATAGTAGTACTATTTATATCTCTCTTTCATATTTTGTATCCCCATCGAAATTCTACTAAGTCATATTATCAATTATAGAATTCTCCTAATGTTCTCTATTATTGGAAGACTATTTCTTTCCTACTAGCGAAATGCTACAATCATCAATAAGATTTATATTTTTTTTATTCTCTCAATTTATTTCTTTATTATTATTTGTTCACTTCTCATTTCAATTGTACTTGAAAAGGTGAAATAAATCGGTTGTTAGAACCCGAAATATTTTATTTAATTGCTTTGACTACAAAAACTATTTTTTGGATTAACAGTTTGGTCCCTTACTCAGCAGAGGAATGGACAAGGGGATCTCCTCCAAGAAATTTACCTACACATTCTCTACAATGTCCACGTGATAACTCACCAGTCAGATCTACTAATCATAGTATCGAGCAGTGAAATGAAAGATAATTAGGTTTGTAGGATGAGTTGAAGCAATTCATTACTCAGCATATTGGAGAGGTATTGCAAGCCTTGAATGGAAATGCACCAAGCAGTTCCAGTTCCACCGTCAGTTAACACAACCACAGAAAATTCCAAACAGTTCAGGAGCAGGAGATTAAGCTACGCCAAGTAATCTTGATTTATAAAATTTAGTTCTAACCTTGCAAAAATAGCTCAAGAAATAAAATTAGTGGATAAAACAAATATCGAGAGTATTGCCAATAATAAAAGATGAAGAGATGGAAAAATATTCACAACAATCATGGAAACCTAGCGCAGCACCATTTCCCATACAAAAACAAATTCAAGATACCAGATATTCCGAAATACGATGGAACTGTGATCCACGAGACTATGTGACCGCATTTTTAACAGGAGTCAAAGGCAATGATGTAACTAAGCAAGAAATATAGTTGGTGCTGGTGAAAAAATTCGATGAAACCCTTACAAAAGAGGCATTAACATGGTATTTTCTCTTACATGAAAATTCAATTGACTCGTTTGCTGAGATTGCAGATTTATTTATTAATGCACATTCGGGAGCCCAAAAAGTAGAGAAACGAATGGAGGACATTTTAAAAATACAACAAGGAAGCACATAATTATCAAAATATTTGTGAAATATTTCCGGTGAGAAAGAATATTGCTACCTCTTGTACCTGATAATTGAGCAGTAATAGCTTTTGCAAGAAACTTAAATAAAAGAAGTTCAGAAGCTACGAGAAGGTTAAAGTAAAGTTTTCGAGAATTCTCACCAACCACTTGGAATGATGTCTATAACATGTATAACACGAAGCTTCGAATAGAGGAAGAGATAGTGACTCAACCAAAGGTGGAAGATAGGTTCGGGCCTAGAAGATCAGAGTCAGAGCAATGAAATACAAAAATAGGTATGAACCCTATATCGAACGTGCAGAGCGAGATCAGAAACTAGAACACGCATGATTTGACCAAAGGTCAAGGTAAGAGAGATAAGTTCTTCTTCACGGGCTGGAAAGGAACGAGAAGTAACGAGATATAACGACCATAGTCGCAGAACAAAACTAGTAGATTACAGTTTTAATGTAAGTACTTCTGAATTAGTAGCAGTATTATGAAGAATGAGAGATAAGGTACGGTAGCCAAAAGAGATGAGGTCAGACCCAAGCAAAAGAAGTCAGGAGTTTTGATGTGAATTCGTAATGATCATAGGCATAGAATTGCAGATTGTGGGCTTTTACAAGGAGAAGTTAATTACTTATTGAAGATCGATTTCCTTACTGATATCTTTAGTGAAAAGGGTAAACATGCTTACATGAAGAATAGAGAGGAACCATCAAAGCCTCCATCACCAAAAAGGACAGTGAACGTCATAATCGGAGGTGAAGATGTCAATGGGGTAACATACACGGCGGCAAAGAGAATATCTAAATTATCTGTGATGCATGGAAAACGCATTCAACAAATCCTAGAGGCGAAGAGCATAACATTTGACAATGAAGACATAGATGGCTTGTTCATACTCTACAATGATGCATTGGTAATTTCTTTACTTATTCATGATACTAATGCGAAATGAGTTTTGATTAATATAGGTAGTTCAGTAAATATTATACTGCTATAGATGGTTAATGAAATGCAGGCAATGGATCAGATAATACCCAAGGCTTAATCTCTGTCGGGGTTCGACAATTCAAGTGTAATAATCAAAGGAGAAATTATGTAATCAACTTTTGTAGAAGGACGGGTGAAAGACACTAAATTGCAAGTGGTGCAAGCCGATATGGCTTATAACATAATTTTAGGTAGACCATGGATTCATGAGATGATGCAATACCCTCAACGTTGTATCAAGTTATCAAATTCTCATCACAGTGGGGAGTTCGACATATTAGGGGAGATCAACGAGCATCACGTGAAACAAATATGGTGGTTGTTTCAAGTGGAACAACCAAGGATGGAGAAGAAAAATAGTAATTATAATGCCAAGTTGAGGAAACTGTTGAGCCCTCAGCAATCGTAGTGTTAGACACGGGTATTGCAGCTGATACAGACGGAAGGCCTAATGTAATCCAAGAATCAGAGAAAAATGATATAATCAAAATAACAACGGAGGAGCTCGAAATTGTAATCCTATTCGTCCATTGGCCTGAGAGAAAAGTTTACATTGGAACAAATCTTAGCTCAGAGCTAAAACGTAAGTTAATTAAATTATTACGAGCTAACTCTAACTGCTTTGCTTGGTCACATTCAGAGATGACAGGAATATCACTGGAAGTAATGACTCACTAACTTAATGAAGACCAATCTCACCCTACCGAAAAGCAAAACAAGAGGAAACAAGGTGCTTTAAAAAATCAGGTAATACAGGAAGAGGTAAGTAAACTCTTAAAAATCGGTTCAATTCGTGAAGTTATATCCTGATTGTCTACCAAATATTGTCATAGTTCCACAAACGAATGGTAAATTACGAGTACATGTAGACTATACTGACTTTACAAAGCATGTCCTAAAGATTCATTTTTTTACCACATATTGATCAATATATTGATTCTATTTCTGGCCATGAGCTTTTAAGTTTTTTTAGATGTTTATTCTGGATAAAATCAAATTAAAATGGATCGCGAAGACGAGGAAAAAACCACTTTCATTACAGACAGGGAGACGTATTGCTACCAGGTTATGCCATTTGGTCTAAAGAATGCTAGAGCCACATATCAAAAATTAGTAACCAAAATATTCCAAGAATATTTAGGGAAGACTATGAAAGTACACATCGACATGTTAGTGAAATCAACACAACCAGAAGATCATCTTGAGCATTTCAAAGAAATATTTGCAATTCTTTGAAAGTACAACATGAAATTGAATCAAGAGAAATGTGCATTCGGTGTTGCGTCAGGTAAGTTTTTAGGCTTCCTTGTTTCTAACAGAGGGATCAACATGAATCCAACTCAAATTAAAGCTATTGAAGAAATCTCGGATGTACTTACAAAGAAAAGGTGTCACAACCTGTACTTTCATGTTAGAATTCTTCTTAAGTGAATCAATATGATCCGGATATTTTAAGGACCTTTACAAAGATAATGATGGGTTAAAACAAGTGTTAGGGAAGTATCGGGAGGGTTGGGACTAAATGAATCAAAGATGTTATAACCCGTACTTTTGGAGTAAAACTAGGAGTGCTTAATATGCTAAGGAGGTGGTATTTTAAGTTACTTGAATCATATAATATTCGTATGTTAAGTTTTGAAGTCAAACAAGTTGTAAAACAAAAGTCTGTAAAAGTTATTGCAAGTTATGTTCATAATTTAACTGAAATTTGGGTCTAATATCACTGAGCTTTTCACCCAATACACTTATAGTTACGGGGTGATCAACCCACCAAATTAAAGGTATACGAGTCTAGTTTCTAAATCATTAAACCATTCATCGATACAACATCGGAGTAGGGAGATATTCGCTTGCGAGACTGCACAGGCAGTCCCTTTTTAGGACCCACTTAGGCAGTGACCGACCTTTGAATATTTTAAAGTGGTTGGAAGGTTCATTTCTGGTTATATTTCAACCAAAATTCATCCTCTCACTCTCCTAAGACTTCTCAACAGTTCCCTAAGGGTTCAAGGTGAAAACCAAGTGGTTATATCCAAATCCAACATCAAAAGTTAGCTAAGATGGAGAATAATACCTCTATAATGTTGTAGTGTGATTAAGGGGTATTGTAAGTTAAATAAAGCTTGGGTTCCAGGTTGTTCTTACTGGTTGAGGTAATTATAATAT